CATGTTAGCGACGACGAAGTTTTTAAAAATTGGAACATCGTCGTTGCTAACATGCTCTATTATTGATATTCTCAGTTGTCGTTGGTACAAAGACATACCTAGCGCTTCAGGACACTTTTCCATCTGTGAATATATTGCCCTAGAATGTATTGTCATATCAGAGAATAAATATTGTTTTGGAATATATTGTCATATCAGAATAGATATTGCTCTGGGATATATTGTCATATCAGAGAATAAATATTGCTCTGGAATATATTGTCATATCAGAATAGATATTGCTCTGGAATATATTGTCATATCAGAGAATAAATATTGCTCTGGAATATATTGTCATATCAGAGAATAAATATTGCTCTGGAATATATTGTCATATCAGAATAGATATTGCTCTGGAATATATTGTCATATCAGAGAATAAATATTGCTCTGGAATATATTGTCATATGAGAATAGATATTGCTCTGGAATATATTGTCATATCAGAGAATAAATATTGTTCTGGAATATATTGTCATATCAGAATAGATATTGCTCTGGAATATATTGTCATATCAGAGAATAAATATTGTTCTGGAATATATTGTCATATCAGAATAGATATTGCTCTGGAATATATTGTCATATCAGAGAATAAATATTGTTCTGGAATATATTGTCATATCAGAATAGATATTGCTCTGGAATATATTGTCATATCAGAGAATAAATATTGCTCTGGAATATATTGTCATATCAGAATAGATATGGAAATATTGTCATATCAGAGAATAAATATATGGAATATTGTCATATCAGAATAGATATTGCTCTGGAATATATTGTCATATCAGAATAGAATATGTCATATCAGAGAATAAATATTGCTCTGGAATATATTGTCATATCAGAATAGATATTGAATATATTGTCATATCAGAGAATAAATATTGCTCTGGAATATATTGTCATATCAGAATAGATATTGCTTGGAATATATAGCCATATCAGAGAATAAATATTGCTCTGGAATATATTGTCATATCAGAATAGATATTGCTCTGGAATATATTGTCATATCAGAGAATAAATATTGCTCTGGAATATATTGTCATATCAGAATAGATATTGCTCTGGAATATATTGTCATATCAGAGAATAAATATTGCTCTGGAATATATTGTCATATCAGAATAGATATTGCTCTGGAATATATTGTCATATCAGAGAATAAATATTGCTCTGGAATATATTGTCATATCAGAATAGATATTGCTTTGGAATATATTGTCATATCAGAGAATAAATATTGCTCTGGAATATATTGTCATATCAGAATAGATATTGCTCTGGAATATATTGTCATATCAGAGAATAAATATTGCTCTAGAATATATTGTCATATCAGAATAGATATTGCTCTGGAATATATTGTCATATCAAAGGATAAATATTGTTCTGGAATATATTGTCATATCAGAATAGATATTGCTCTGGAATATATTGTCATATCAGAATAGATATTGCTCTGGAATATATTGTCATATCAGAGAATAAATATTGCTCTGGAATATATTGTCATATCAGAATAGATATTGCTCTGGAATATATTGTCATATCAGAGAATAAATATTTCTCTGGAATATATTGTCATATCAGAATAGATATTGCTCTGGAATATATTGTCCTATCAAAGAATAAATATTGTTCTGGAATATATTGTCATTTCAGAATAGATATTGCTCTGGAATACATTGTCATATCAGAGAATAAATATTGCTCTGGAATATATTGTCATATCAGAATAGATATTGCTCTGGAATATATTGTCATATCAGAGAATAAATATTGCTCTGGAATATATTGTCATATCAGAATAGATATTGCTCTGGAATATATTGTCATATCAGAGAATAAATATTTTCTGGAATATATTGTCATATCAGAATAGATATTGCTCTGGAATATATTGTCATATCAGAGAATAAATATTGCTCTGGAATATATTGTCATATCAGAATAGATATTGCTCTGGAATATATTGTCATATCAGAATAAATTATATTGTCATATCAGAATAGATATTGCTCTGGAATATATTGTCATATCAGAGAATAAATATTGCTCTGGAATATATTGTCATATCAGAGAATAAATATTGCTCTGGAATATATTGTCATATCAGAATATTGCTCTGAATATATTGTCATATCAGAGAATAGATATTGCTCTGGAATATATTGTCATATCAGAGAATAAATATTGCTCTGAATATATTGTCATATCAGAGAATAAATATTTCTGGAATATATTGTCATATCAGAATAGATATTGCTCTGAATATATTGTCATATCAGAGAATAAATATGGAATATATTGTCATATCAGAATAGATATTGCTCTGGAATATATTGTCATATCAAAGAATAAATATTGTTCTGGAATATATTGTCATTTCAGAATAGATATTGCTCTGAAATATATTGTCATATCAGAGAATAAATATTGCTCTGGAATATATTGTCATATCAGAATAGATATTGCTCTGGAATATATTGTCATATCAAAGAATAAATATTGTTCTGGAATATATTGTCATATCAGAATAGATATTGCTCTGGAATATATTGTCATATCAGAGAATAAATATTGCTCTGGAATATATTGTCATATCAGAATAGATATTGCTCTGGAATATATTGTCATATCAGAGAATAAATATTGCTCTGGAATATATTGTCATATCAGAATAGATATTGCTCTGGAATATATTGTCATATCAAAGAATAAATATTGTTCTGGAAATATTGTCATTTCAGAATAGATATTGCTCTGGAATATATTGTCATATCAGAGAATAAATATTGCTCTGGAATATATTGTTATCAGAATAGATATTGCTCTGGAATATATTGTCATATCAGATAAATATTGTTCTGGAATATATTGTCATATCAGAATAGATATTGCTCTGGAATATATTGTCATATCAGAGAATAAATATTGCTCTGGAATATATTGTCATATCAGAATAGATATTGCTCTGGAATATATTGTCATATCAGAGAATAAATATTGCTCTGGAATATATTGTCATATCAGAATAGATATTGCTCTGGAATATATTGTCATATCAGAGAATAAATATTGCTCTGGAATATATTGTCATATCAGAGAATAGAAACCAAGTACACTTTACATTGATTCTAACAAAATGTTCCTATCTACACATTGCTTAGTTTCTAGAAGGTGTCTTTCGTTATTTCCTATGCACTTTTGAATTTCTATGTCATAATATTCGTCGTCTTTCGTTATACTACCAAAATAGATACATTTTTCTATCTGCATGTCTTTGACGTTCCCAATGCGTAATTCCCACAATGACGTGTCTCTTTTGCTAGCGAATATGAGTTCTGTCGTCTAGAAGTTAAAGATCAATCTTTTTTTCTTGTTTTACATTACAAATACAAAAATTAAACAGCAGATAAACATTTTCAGCCACTATAATTATTATACAGTGAACGATTAGGATTTGATAACAGAGTTTGTCAAAACTGCCAGTGAGTAACAAATACAGGAATTATTCAGCAGATAAACTAACATTTTCAGCCACCATAATTATTATACAGTAAGTATACGAGTAGGATTTGCTAATAGTCCGTCAAAATTTTCATTGACTCAAATGTTTCCATGTATAATGCTATGTATCTGAGTCAAGTACTGCAAGAGAGTGTCTTTATATGTGTTATACCTGACGCACCTATTCTGTTATTAGTAGACTCTCCAACACATAATAAGTAGTAGTAGTAGTAGCGGTCGCTAGTGGGGCTCAATGGTGTTGAGCGAGTCAGTCGATATCGGACATTGAAGTACCAACCATCACAACTGGATTGCTGCGTCATTAACTCTTATTTTCAAGTTCCTTACGTTTTGTACGTCGAACCTAATTTAGGACGACTTATTGAAATACAAACCTCCACTGTCAATACTACTCTACAACAATATGTCTACCATTCATCTATGCATTGAATCTTATTGCCACATCTAGTTTGACACGTTTGTTAGTTATCGAAACATTTTTACAAAATCTAAAAAGAATCTACAACGTTATGAATCCTGACATGTGAGCTTGATTTTAATCCCTTTACCACTCCCCTAACCTACTTTCGTGTGTCTTCTCTGTAAATACTTTCATGGCAATTGTCCAGATAATCTTTCTGCTTTAATACCGCACTTTCACGAATTTAAGCGCAGTACTAGGTTGTCAGATAGGTCTCATTATTTTACTGCTGAAATTGCTAGATATAACCGTAAGTTTTATTCTAATTTTTTTTTTTAAAACTCTCTTTCGGCTTGTTGTTTTCGGACTCTTTGGATACTGTTCTGTTATTGGTCTATCACTCAATATCATTTTCACAGTTTCTTTCACTACCGTTTGAGCCTTAGTGGCTTTATTGCCTTCGTTGGGGTTATATGATTGATAAAAAGTAAATGAAACAAATGCATAAAAAATAACATATACCTATTTTCTGATTTTTTCTTCAGTTTCATCTGCGTATTTTATCTTGTTAAGATTATGTCCACTATTAATAAATCCTCGTAGGACTTCTAGTTGTCTTAGTATCGACTGGATGTTTTGGTTTAATAAACCACTCTTGCCTAGCCGTCTTTTTATTTTTTTAAATCTCAATGCAAATGGCCGAACTGGTTACTTCCTCTTTCTTTTCATTTGCTGAAATACAATACTAAGAATATTACTTGATTAGTTTAGGGGTGAAAACCAATCGCATTCCATTAGGTTTCGGCATTACTCAGTCACGTTTGTTGGTCAAGAAAAACCTTTATTAAAACCAACGTTTAATATCTAACAGAGCAAGATCGATAGATGTTTTTACGTGTCTGGGATTTAGAAAAGCTTTGGGTAAATAAGGTAAGTTAGTTCGAAAGAAGAAAGAAGACGCTAGCGTAGCTCATACGTTTAATGGACATGTTTGGTGGAAAATGGCGGTGGGAGCGACTACTTACTCTAAATGAGCAAGGAAATCCAACATGGCCGACTCGTGGAGTTGCTTGCGGGAATGAAAATAAAAAAAAATATAAAAGAAGACTGAAAAAACGTGAAGAAAATACTGATTTTTCTTACAGTTACGAAGAAAAAAAGAAAGGAAGGAAGATGAAAAAAGATAAAAAATGGTTAGGAGAAAGAAAGAAAGAAAGAAAGAAAGAAAGAAAGAGTTAGAAGGGGATAATGTGCGATGTAGATAGACAATTACGGAAAGAAAGAAAGAGAGAAAGAAAGAAAGAAAGAATGGTGTAAAAATTATAAAAAAAAACGTGAAGAGAAAGAACGATATAAACAAAAGGCAGGAAGAAAAAAAGAGAAAAAGAACGATGTAAAAGAAAGAAAATATGATGAAAAAGAGAGAAAAAAGACGATTAAAGAGAGAGAGAGAGAGAGAGAGAGCGACTGAGAGAAAGAGAGAAAGAAAAGATGATGCAAAAGGAAGAGAAAGCGATGAGAGAGAAAGAAAGAAATGCGATGTAAAAGAAAAAAAGAGAGATGGCAAAGAAATCAAGAAAAGACGAAGTACAAGGCAAAAAAGTGATGAGAAAGAAAGAAAGAAAGAAAGAAAGAAATAAAGAAAAAAGAAGGCGGTGTAGAAGAAAGAAAGGGTAACGGGAAAGAAAGAAAGAAAATATAATAGATAGATAGATAGATAGATAGATAGATAGATAGATAGAGAACGGTGTAAAAGGAAGAAAAGGTGAGCGGAAAGAAACAAAATACAATTAAATGGAAAAACAGTGATGAGAAAGAAAGAAAGAAAGAAAAAAAAGAAAAAGACGGTGTAAAAGGAAAAGGTGACAAGAAAGAAAGAAAATCCAATTAAAAAAAGAAATAGTGATGAGAAAGAAAGAAAGAAAGAAAGAAAACTGAATTGTGAAAATAATTTGAAGAGGTTGAAAAAATTGTTTGAAGAATTCGTCAAAAATAATGTGTATTATTATGAAACAAATAATACAAGAGATATCAGACAGACACCCTATTAGAAACATCTGGATCCAAAAAAGGCGTTTCCTACGATTCTTTCGTTTGTTAACGGCAGTTCCAATTTCTCTCAAGAGTTTTAGTCTTGATTCTTTGACATTTTTAGAAGTAAAAAAATCAACCAATCCAATAGTTTTTCCAGAACTGTTTTATCTGAGGACTTATCAATATTATATATTTGACTATTAGTCTCATCTTGGTTATTATACTACCAATGGTTCAACCATAGTACACTACGGATGTCTTTCAATATCCTGTATTCACACACATGGCGTAGTGGCTTAAAGGATTGGTTAAAATATATCTAGTAGATATGAGATAAATCCCCGGCTTTGGTTGAGCTAAAAAAAATTAATATACTCTGGTACAGCGGATGACCCCCCCACCACCAAAAAACAAAACAAAAAACATACAAATTTGAATAAGACTAGTGCATATTAACTGATATGAAAAATCTCTTGAGTTTGAATTGAATAAAGAGATCAGTTCAAAACTCCAGGTGTGCGGTAATGCTTAAAAGTCGCATAATCCACAGAAATATAATCGGCAGAAAGAGTAATAAGACTGGTGAATTTTAACTGATAACAGCATGGCTGATGCTAACCGCCAGGAGAGACTCATTGTGCCCTCTAGGACTAACTTTCTCCGCTGACATGAAGTGAAAAGATTATATTTTATCAATGATTTTGTCTGTTGCAAGGAAGTTTTGGTTCAATATGTCAGACTACATACTCTTTCTCGCCTTACATATTTATATGACTGCCAATCGTCCTTGCTGTGAATATTTCTTCCACACGTGGTCTCATGCTTTTGCTTATGTATTTAGAAATTCTTGATAAAATACAAAGACTATTTGGGTCCTGTTATTGGATCCAACCAACGCCTTTATCCACTGTGTCATGTGTCCAGTGACAGAATCCTAAGAGTTTGAGTTCAATACCCGGTTAAGGCAGTGGAGAACTTGGAGAGGGGAATTAACAGGAGATAACTGATAATTGACATCCATTAAACATGGCATGTTGAACTAGAACAGTCTACCCCAGTGAGTGAAATAAAGGGTTAAGTTCTATATTCCAACCACCTGAAGAAGGCCGGAGCTTACAACGGCCGAAACGTTGTAATAAACATGGCGACAAAGATGAGGACAATAGTCGGAATAATGTAAATAGTGTACATAATACCTCATCTCAGAAATATAGACAGATACTGAAAGGCCGAAACGTTGTAATAAATATGGCAACAAAGATGAGGAGAATAATCCGAATAATGTAAATAGCGTACATAATACCTCATCTCAGAAATATAGACAGATACTGAAGGGCCGAAACGTTGTAATAAATATGGCAACAAAGATGAGGAGAATAATCCGAATAATGTAAATAGTGTACATAATACCTCATCTCAGAAATATAGACAGATACTGAACGGCCAAAACGTTGTAATAAATATGGCGACGAATATGAGGACAATAGACCGAATAATGTAAATAGTGTACATAATACCTCATCTCAGAAATATAGACAGATACTGAACGGCCGAAACGTTGTAATAAATATGGCGACAAAGATGAGCACAATAGTCTGAATAATGTAAATAATGTACATAATACCTCATCTCAGAAATATAGACAGATACTGATGTAAAATTACCTCAGCGCTTACGGCCACTTCACATTGAAACCCAAGTTCCCGTATGATCACTGAAGTTCAGCAACATCGAGCCTGGTCAGTACCTAGATGGGTGACCGCTTGGAAATAACGGGTTATCTAAGTTTGGATGTGCGGATAGTGTAATGGATAATGGCTCGGAAGTCTTAATCGAAGAGTTGAGTTCCAATTTCAGTTTTGTTCGTTATAGTCACTTATACTAAATACCCTTTGGAAAGGTATGAACTCATCTACTCCAGCAGCTATGGGTTAATTCGTAAAACTTGTATCTGTAAATTATTATTATCGCAAGAAAAAATGCGTACAAAATATTTAGATTTCGGCATTGAATATCTCATAGAGGTTGGAATTTCGCTAAACAAGTAAAATAAAATGTCTCCTAGGCATCTAAAGTGGAATAATAACAATCTATTTTTGTGGATTTAATAAAGGGTTCTGTAAACAAGTTCTAAAATTGTGTAACTATTCTGAGAAAATGATTTACTAAAAATGGAAACATCGTGAAGAACACCTTAACATGAAATTCAAAACGCAAAACAAAATGGACGTATATTGTTGGCAATGACCTACTCTCCTGTCTAAAAGCGGAGTTGAAATAGGCAGGAATTTTTCCAGAATCTAATAATATGGGAGATAGAAGAGATAAGATCAGTTCATTCCTAACACGCAATTTTGATCTTGTATAGAATGTTTTTATGCCAAATTTTGTATAAATATGATTATAATCTATCATTTTCGGGTTTTGAAAAACAGTTGTGTCTGAAATAATCAGGGGTTCGTATGTTATAAAATCTAATAAAACGAAAGAGGAAAAAATAAATCTGAGGAGCGTAGAAGATTAGTTTAGAATTTATTTTATTTAAATCAAGGAATGGTATGTAAACATACCACAAATTATTTAAATCTATACCGCAAATAAATAAAAAAAGCTTACAAAGCATTTTTTCCTCGGCTTGTTCGTTTCTTATGTTTGGCTTCACCGTCAAACATTGAAGGAAATTACCGTGAAGAAATTGCTATAAGAAGGTAATATCGACGTTTTTCATTTTAAAGCCCTACAAATGTTCTGTCCTCAGCTCCGTGTTAGAAATCAGGTTTTAAAATAACGAGGAAAGACGGAACGACAGAGGCATAAAATATTTATATTGGTTGCCATCCGGATCAGTCAGTTATGTGCCATGCACTATACACGCGTAGGTGATCATGCATCTTTCGATACATGACTGACGAGGCAGATTTTTTCCCGCAGTGGGTTGCCATTTCTTTCTACGGTAGACCAGTTGCCATCCAAGGCTATAGAACCGGTCTGTACTGTTATTTACCCATAGCTGGGCGGAAAAGAAGAGGATTCATACCTTTCCCAAGGGTATTAGCACCTAAGTGAATTTCAGTCAGTCATGTGCCATGCATGATACACACTTAGGTGATCATCTATCTTTTGATACGTAACTGACGAGGCAGATTTTTCCCGCGGTAGGTTACCATTTCTTTCTGCAGTAGACCAGTTGCCATCCAAGACTATAAAACTCGATCTGTTCTGCTTTTTACCCATAGCTGGAGGGGGGGTGTAAAGAAGAGTCTTCATACCTTTTCCAAGGATATTAGCACGTAAGCGAATGTAATGGATTCGACTGGAATTCGAACTCGGCTCTCCGATTCCTCAATCCAAGCCGTTATCCAATACTCTTCTAAAATAGAATCAGTTATGATTTGGATGAGGTTTTCAAATCAGTTTCGCAATATTCTTCTATGTGCTGTGTCATGACGTCGATGATCATGGCTTTCCACAATTTCCTATTACTTATTCTATCACTTAGTTTCATGTTGTGTTTTGTAGGCTTAAAGGCATATGAACTCCTTATTTGTCCTGTAATCCAGAAATTTAATTTTCTTGGGAGCTTTGAAGCAATGAAAACGTGATATATGTTATTCTATTTTCACAACTGAATACATGGTAGATGATTCTCAGCTTTTGTGCAGGTTCCTAACAAAATCCAAATGAGGATATCCGATGTAATCGATTCAAATTTGGCATGTTGGATCAGTCACTTTCTCACTAAATCGATGTGCCTTCCATCTTTCTTTTCAACAAATATGTTCATGGCAAACGCTCTGACGAAAGACATGACTTACCTCAGAATTCGAAACGAGCGCGAACGTGTCTTGCCTGCAAAGGGATGACAAAAAGAAATGTGGCCGATATTGAAAACAGAATCTATCCACGCCTATTTCGTCCAAAACGAGACGATATTTGCACACATGAAAATTTTGGCCGTATTAGAATAGCATAAAAAGCGGGGTGCTAGCAGCACGACAGAACCGAAGTCATTCGGCGGACTGCATGCAACAGAGCTGGACGTACGGAATGACAGACGGAAAAGAGGAAGTCGAAGTAGGCGCGGCTGTGCTGGTGTCTGCTTCACAACTGTCCAGTGTAACGGCTAACGTCGAGCGACACACTACACTTTTTGACAACGCCTCATGTTTTCTTTCTCCTACTGTCCAAGCCACATGAATTTAAATGTGGTTGAAATCTCACTATATTCTCAAAATTAAGTCTATATTTCTGAGATGAGGTATTATGTACACTACTTCCATTATTCGGACTATCGTCCTCATCTCTTTCGCCATATTTATTACAACGTTCCGGCCGTTGTACGCTCCGGCCTTCTTCGTGTGGTTGGAAAGTCGAACCGAATCCTTTATTTCGCTCACTGTGGTAGACTGTTCTAGTTCCACGTGCTATGTTTAATGGATGTCAGTTATCGCCTGTTAATTCCCCTCTCCAAGTTCTCCACTGCCTTCACCGGGTATTGACACTTTTTGGGTCCGGTCACTAGATCTAACCAACGCCATTATCCACTGTGCCATATGTCCTTGAAGGGTTCAGTTCGACAGTCCAACCACCTGAAGAAGGCCGGAGCGTACAACGGCCGAAACTCTGTAATAAATATAGCGACAAAGATGAGGACAATTGTCCGAATAATGAAAATAGTGCTCTCAAAATTGTCGAGAATGTGGTTTCTGTTTGTTTGATGATATGATACCATTAGAAAGTGACTGAGAAACATAGCTTGGCCTGAGTGAAACTTTGTGAGTGAAATTGGGCAGTTTGAACTGTTTGGAAGTCGTCAGTTATTGGGCGAGCACAAAGGTTCATGTCATCGAGGTCGTGTGTTTGAGCGTACTGGCCTTTTTTTTTTGGTATTGATCAGGCTAGATTGAGATCTCTCCCAGAAACTGTATCTAAGCTCCGCTTTGCATAGTTTCTGTATAAACAATAGGTTGGATCTGTAGACCTTAAAGAACTGTAAATGTGCCTGAGCTGGTGTCTGCCCAGGGATAAACCAGCCACCCTAAAAGACAAGCATGCCGGGAAACGAAATACGTACGTATCTATCTATCTATCTATCTATCTATCTATCTAAGTTTATTCATTAACTATCTATCTATCGTGACTTATTCATATCTATCTATCTATCTATCTATCTATCTATCTATCTATCTCAGTTTATTCATTAACTATCCATCTATCGTGATTTCTTCATATCTATCTATCTATCTATCTATCTATCTATCTATCTATCTATCTATCTATCTATCTATCTCAGTTTATTCATTAACTATCCATCTATCGTGACTTCTTCATATCTATCTATCTATCTATCTATCTATCTATCTATCTATCTATCTATCTATCTATCTCGTTTTTATTATAGTACATTTTACTAGTAATACCTTTTCATAGTACAGTGTCAATCAATTGAATTTAATTAACCGGTAAATTTAAAAAAAATTAATATAAAGAAAATTACGTCAGATTGTCTTCAGATTTTACTCAATGTAATGAAAGCATTAAATGCTTCAAGTTAATCGAGTAACACAGGGCCGAAACGTGCCTCGATAGGCAGCGTTGCTAGTCTTAATTTTGTTCTGGCGCGTTTACTACACGAGATTTCTTGATTTTGGACCATGCTTCTCCTCTGATTTAAATTTGACAGTAATTTTTTTTTTTGCGTGTGTGCCTGCATGACAAGCCAGTTTTGTGGAGAAATTAAGATTCCTTGTTTGATAGCAGCTTTCAAAGTTTCCAATAGAACTGGCTGTCAAACATTAAATATAAAAAAAAGAAATTCGAAAATATTCTAGTTTCTTTTTTATATACACATAATCGGATTACTGTCTGTATTATTTGACGACCCGTATTTTTCATCATAATTTTGTCTAATTTTAGAATACAGAACAGTATTTTGCGGAATGGCAGGCGGCACTTATCACGTTCACGCCTAGAAATTATCAATAAATACACAAGACGAAATAGAGTCTTGTATTGTAGCGTAGCTTAGACGTGGCACGAGGCCGAAAGAAAGGGGCACCTAGTGAGGATCGAACTCCCTTTTCAGTCATAACTGATCTAACTTGACAAGCTTGCTAACCATTACACCACGCCGAGGTACCCTAAAGTGGTTTTCCAAGGGTAGTTTAGATGTGGCACAAGGCCGAAAGTACGGGGCATCTAGTGAGGATCGAACTCACTTTTCAGTCGTAACTGATCTAGTGAGACAAGCTTGCTAACCATTACAGCGGTATAGCTGTATTAAACTTACAGCAACCGCCGTCTGTCGAACTCTCTGCATTAGCAGGGAGGAACCCGGACGAGGCTTTGCCGAAGGGCAAGGTTTCGTCCGGGGAGGTTATGACAGCTCTCGAACTCGCCTAGGCGAGTCAAAGGCTATATTTTTGGCCGGGCCTACGGGCTCGGGTGACCACATAAAACTCGGCCTTGTGCCACATGCGACCCCTCGTAGGGGGACAGCTAAATATAGCTTGCTAACCATTACACCGCCTCGTGGTACCCGAATATCAACTTTTTTTCGAAACTGAAAAATATCGTACAGATTTGCTAACTTCGCTGACATCTTAGCAACACGCGACTGAACGGTATTCAGGAAAACGAATTCCAAGAACGCTTCCAGCGATGGCACCACAACCTCCAGGAAGTGTATAGCTTTACAAGAGCATGTAACAGAAGTCAGTAGTGACCAGGTAATATAATTTTGCTTTCGAACAGCTTTTCTGAATGGAAGTTACGCTTCTAATATAATTTTAAAAAATCAGCTGAAGTGTGTGTGCATTTTAACCTTTTGCCCTATCATATCGTAAAAGACACTTAGATATTTGCTAGCTTTGATCTTGCTATCATCAGATAGAACATGTGTCAGCGTAAAAAAAAAACCGAGCCCCCGTATAACGCTAATATCCGCACGGGAGAGGCACGTTGGAATAATGGACAGCAGATCGAATATCAGAATCGGAGAGCCGAGTTCGAATTCAAGTTGAATCCATTATATTCGTGCTAATACTCTTGGGAAAGGCATGAATCCTCTTCTTCCCCGCCAGCTATTGGTAAATAGCAGGAAAAACCGGGTTCTATAGCCATGGATAGCAATTGATTTACTGCAGCAAGAAATGGCAACCTATTGCGGGAAAAATCTGCCTCGTCAGTCATGTATCAAAAGATACATGATCGCCTAAGGGTATATCACACATGGCACATAACTGACTGACTGACTTTTCAGTCGAATACATTATATTCACTTACGTGCTGATAGCGTTAGAAAATATATGAATTCTCATCTTCTCCCACCAGCTATGGGTAAATAGCAGGACAAACCGAGTTCTATAGCCTTGGATGTCAACTGGCCCACCGCAGAAAGAAATGGCGACCTACTGCGGGAAGAAAATCTACCTCGTCAGTCATGTATCGAAAGGTACATGATCGGCTAAGCGTGTATCACGCATGTCACATAACTGACTGATATTCACTTACGGGCTAATACTCTTGGGAAAGGTATGGATCCTCTTCTTCTCCCCACAGCTATGGTTAAATAGCAGGACAGACCGGGTTCTATAGTCTTGGATGGCAATTGGTATACTGCAGAAAGAAATGGCAACCTACTGCATGAAAAAATATGCTTCGTCAGTCATTTATCGAAAGATACATGATCGGCTAGGAGTGTATCACGCGTGGCACATAACTGACTGACTGATTCTCATATAATATAACGTTCATGCTGTTATACGGGGGAGGGGAATTGTGTAGTTACTACTGAATCGATGGAATTCTTCATCAAACAGGCTTCAGTATTGTACATGTTCCATAGTTTCCGCAGCTACACTTCCTGTTTGCCTCTTAGTTGTTTAAACAAGTGGTGGTAGGAAAATCCCTCCAATGTTTTTCAATTTACATTCGCAGTTGTATCACCATTTTGAACGGTATGCGCACATTTCCACTGTTCTATTCACCGACACTCTGCGGTGGGTCTGTTAATTCGTTAATTCTTTCGCAGTTCCGAACCAAACCATTTATTGTACCCAGTGAGGATAGATGGCTCTCATTTCACTCTTCATTGTAAAGAGGGTATCTCACATCAGTTTGTCGAGCTATTTCCTCCCAATTCCTAAAACTGCTACTAGGGGACGCTCTCCAGCACTATAAATACTCGTTGATATCTTTTCTCGCCCTCTTTTTTCTCATTTCTCCACCTAGACATCAACAAGTAAATTTCTAGCGGAAGAACGTGATCCCCCTTTTGGGACACACATGAATACTGCATATACACATACACGTACGTACGCACATTCACTCACTACACATACATACAAAATTTCCACATTCATTTGTTACACAGACATTATTAACTTTGTCAACTGTAATTTTTGTTTTTTTTACATCTTCATTTGTTTGTATATATATATATATATATATATATATATATATCTTAGCTTCTCGTTGTTTCTTTACATTTCTTTTCTCATACTCCGAGTTCGCCATGTTTGTTGTGGGCATGTCAGGAGACACACGTGTTTATCACACAACACGTACACCAGACCGCATTGTTATTATCCAGTGCAAATCGAATTTTTTGTCGCTTGTTCGTTTCTGCCACTGAACTAGATTATAAGATTTTTCATTCCAGGTAATGAAACCGATAAATTTTAACCAATGAATTAATCTCTGATACTAAGCCTTGCACAATTTTTAGTATTAAACAAAGTTGATGGAAATATGAGTGTCCTTTCTTTCTCCTCACCGTAATGGCTGAATAAATCCGGTGAGAAAACACATCATCGTCTTAACCCGATTTCTATTTTAGTCTATTTACTGAATTCATTTCTATTCGTATGTTCGCCTCTTGCTCCCGTCCTGTATACGTCCTGTGAGAAGACACATCATTGTCTTGCACCATTTCTAATTTGGCTTTTTACCGAATTTCTTTGTGCAGTCTCCTATATTCTGTGCCTATCCTTGGCTTATATATAGGAGACTGCACAAAGAAATTCGGTAAAAGGTAAAAAGCCAAATTAGAAAGGGTGCAAGACAATGAAGTGTCTTCTCACAGTGTGTCTTTCCTTATATTTGAGACCTTACATTATTTTTACTGTTTCTTCAGAAATACTGAATAGTTTGTGGGCATGTAATTTCAAATTACCCCATTTTAGATATTTTGTTGCAGATAAATAGAAAACATGAGTAATATTAGAAAAATATAGAATGTAAAAGAGGCAGTAATTTTTGTTATCATACTGTATTAATTATTAAATGATTTATTATTCCCATTTATAAATGAAACTCTTGCTTTCAAACCTAGCCGATAGAGTGAGAAAACATTTAATCACCTATACATCGTTCACACATTTAAATCAGTTAAGATCTGTTCAAAGCCACTGATGTAGAATTCATGTTTGAACGACAAAATTAACGTATTTGGCTTTTTCGCTTCCCCCCGAAAAATCATTTTATTGCTTGAAATTTGAAGTTGTTTTAAATTTTCTGCAAGTTAAAAACAAACGAAGCATTTTTTTTTTAATTTCGTCTTTCGAGAGATGCAAACAGTGAAATGGATTACTGTCCTACTTGAGTGAAATTTAGAACCAATCAAAGCGGCAAGGATTATTGATTATGATTGATGAGAACATTGATTATTGGCGAAATTTGATTAGTAGAAAAAACAAAAACGGAAATGCAATTCAAAACATTAAAAAATATCCGAAAAAGGAAAAGGTTATTTAATGTAAAGATCTTAAATAAAAAGACATCGCGCTAAAACTGAATTTTAGGCTAAAAATAAAAATGAAACGAAACGAAAACTAAACAGAAGAAAGAAAGAAAGAAAGGACGAAAGAAAGAAAGAAAGAAAGAAAGAAAGAAAGAAAGAAAGAAAGAAAGACAGGACGAAAGAAAGAAAGAAAGAAAGAAAGAAAGAAAGAAAGAAAGAAAGAAAGACAGGACGAAAGAAAGAAAGAAAGAAAGGACGAAAGAAAGAAAGAAAGAAAAAAAGGACGAAAAAAGGAAAGAAAGACAGGACGGAAGAATGAAAGAAAGAAAGAAAGAAAGAAAGACAGGATGAAAGAAAGAAAGAAAGAAAGAAAGAAAGAAAGAAAGAACGAAAGAACGAACGAACGAAAGAAAGAAAGGACGAAAGAAAGAAAGAACGAAAGAAAGAAAGAAAGAAAGAAAGAAAGACAGGACGAAAGAAAGAAAGGACGAAAGAAAGAAAGAAAGAAAGAAAGAACGAACGAACGAAAGAAAGAAAGAAAGAAAGGACGAAAGAAAGAAAGAAAGAAAGAACGAAAGAAAGAAAGGAATATATAAAGAAAATGAACAGCAAACATAAAAGGGAAAAGAAAGAAAGAAAGAAAGAATGAATGAATGAAAGAATGAATAGTAAAATAACAGAAAAATTAAATCAAAATAAAGTAAAAAAGAACGAAAAGAAAGAGAAAATGAAACAAAAAAAGAAAGAAAAAGGAAACAAAAAGAAAGAAAAAGGAAACGAAAAGAAAGCGAGGAAAAAGAAAATCAAAAGAAAGGAAAAAGAAAGAAATGGCGGAAAAGAAAGACAGGAAGAAAGATAAGAGCAAAATAGAAAGAAAGAAAGGAAAAACAAAAAGAAAGAAAGAACTAAAAGAGAAGAAAGAAAGAAAGGAAAAACCGAAAAGAACAAGAAAAAGAAATGTATGGAAGGAGTAAGAAAGGAAAAATTGAAGATAAGAAAGAAAGAAAGAAAAGAAAGAAAGAATGGAAGAAAGGAGAGAAAGTAATTGTAAAATATTAAGAATTGAAAATAAGGAGAAATTTGTCAATAATATGAGAAGAGTAGAAATAATTTTATGAAGAATTAAGAGTGAAAGAAAATAATGAAAGGAACCACGACAAAATGGAAGACCGACTATTTAAAACAAAATACAATATGGTGGAAAAAGAATGAAGAAATCAGGATAGTAGAAGGAAAATGAAAAACAACGGAAAGAAGACGACGAAGAAGGAAAAATGATATAGTAATGCAGAAAAAAGGAAAAGGGAAAGAAGAAAAGTTGAATGAATGAAGTAAGGAATGAAGCACTGAAGGAAGGAAAGGAGACAAAAATGGTAGTATGCAAAATACGAGAAAGGACAATAATGGAAAAGAATGAAGAAAGGAAAGAAGAAAAGGAAGGAAGGAGGGAAGGAAGGAAAAGGGAAGGAAGGAAGGAAAGGAATTTGGGAAGGAAGGAAAAAAGGAGGGAAGGAAGGAAAGGAAGGAGGGAAGGAAGGAAAGAAGGAGGGAAGGAAGGAATGAAGGAACGAGGGAAGGAAAGGAAGGAGGGAAGGAAGGAATGAAGGAAGGAGGGAAGGAAAGGAAGAAAGGAAGAAAGGAATTTAGGAGGGAAGGAAGGAAGGAGGGAAGGAAGGAAGGAAGGCGGGAAGGAAGGAAAGAATGAAGAAAGGAAGGAAGGAAGGAAGGAAAGGAAAGGAAAGGAAGGAAAGAAGGAAGGAAGGAAGGAAGGAAGGAAGGAAGGAAGGAAGGAAGAAAACAGGGAAGGAAGGAAGGAAGGAAGGAAACAAGGAAGGAAGGAAGGAAACAAGGAAGGAAGGAAAGAAGGAAGTAAAGGAAGGAGGGAAGGAAGGAAGGAAGGAAGGAAGGAAGGAAGGAATAGAGATGGGAAGCAAATAAAAATGGTGAGGAGATAGTAATACAAAAAGGTAAAAAAAAGGAAGAAATAAAGTGAAAAAAGAAGAAGACGTGAAGGAAGCAATGAAGCAAGCGAGGAGGGTGGAAAGCGAAGGTAAATCAATGAACAAAAGAGATGGCGATATAACAGAAAAGAAAAAATACGGAAAAGCTTTGAAGAATAAAGAAAGAAAAAAAAAAGGGGATGAACAGTGGAAAAAAGAAATAAAGAAGAAAAGAAAGAAAGAATTGAAGAGAAAAGGCAAAAAAACTAAAAAGTCGCAAAATAAAACCAATTCTCTTTCTGAAATAACGAAAACTCGTTAAAAAGATGCCATATTGGAATACAGCAAAACAGTAATAAAAAGAAATTCAGGTGGAAAGGAAATACGCGTAAGATAAAAGAGAGGCAAAAAAAAAGTGATATTTAAAGTTGAGAATAAGGTCAATGTTCGTCTGCAATGCAACAGAAATGGAATTAAATCTTTTGTTGCTTCTGAAGATTACAAGACTGAATAGAATCTGGAAATGAACGTGGATTTGGATACAAGATGAAGAGACAAATCTAAAAGGAAAGGCATTTTCTTTACGACTTCAACTGGTTGACTTTAGAAGAGGAAACAGTACGCATCATGCCTGAAAAAGAAAAAAAAATGTAAAAGAAAGAAAAGAAATATTAATATAAAAAAAAACGAAGAAAAAAGCCTAAAATAAGGAAAAATGTCCAATTGAAAAAAAAATTGACATAGCGGATTAAATTTAAAGATAAAAAAAATAATTAAAAAAATTGTTTGCTTATCGTAGTGCAATGGTTCACAATCTTCTCTTGCAGACCATCGTGCTCTCACGATGCCAGCTGGATGTCTTACCAAAGCTATCCTGTGACAAGGTGAGTTCAGTATAGTTAATTATGAAGCCTGATATAGTTTCAGCGCAAAAGTCAAATATCTGTACGCCCTGGGTATGACGATAAACTGCATCCGGCAGCAAGGCCTTGATCAGGAAATTTTGAGCAGTGTGGAACCACCTCTTAAAATTGACTGACCCGGGGTGTTGGCACATGTTAGGGTTCCAGCTATGGCCAAATAGTTAACCCCACCCAAACTAGGGTAAAGAAACTATGAAAGTATATAAATACTTTTGTCATAGTAAAATACCAGCAATACGTTTTAATAATTAAAACAATACCAGTAATACGTTTTAATAGTTACAAAATACCAGCAATACATTTTAATAGTTAAAAATACCAGCAATAAGTTTTAAAAGCTAAAAAATACCAGAAATACGTTTTAATAGTTAAAAATACCATCAATATACAGTATTTGCATTAGACGGACTATCTTTGTCGCCATATTTGTCGCAACGTTTCGGCCGTTGTACGCTCCAGCCTTCTTCAGGTTGGAATTTTATTTAGATCCTGTTCTAGTTCTACGTGCCATGTTTGATGGATGTCAGTTATCAGTTATCTCCTGCTAATTTTCCCTCTGAAAGTTCTCCACTGCCTCAATGAGTATTGAACTCACACTCTTTGGGTCTGTCACTGGATATAACCAACGACTTTATCCACTGTGCCATGAGTCCTTGAGGTATCTGGGCATGAATTTCTGGGTATTATAAACCTATGTTAGCAATATGTTTAATAATTAAAAAATTCCAGCAATACGTTTTAATAGTTAAAAAAATAACAGCAATACCTTTTAATAATTACAAAAATACTAACAATACATTTTTATAGTTACAAAAATACTAACAATACATTTTAATAGTTAAAAATACCAGTAACACGTTTTAATAGTTAAAAACATATCAGCCATACATTTTAATAGTTAAAAAAATACCTGTAATACGTTTTAATAGTTAAAAAATAACAGCAATACATTTTAATAGCTAAAAATTACCATCAATACATTTTAATACTTAAAAGTAACAGCAATACGTTTTTATACTTAATAAATACCTTCAATGCATTTTAATTGTTAAAAAAATAACACCAATACATTTTTGAAAAAAATAAAAAAATACCAGCAATATATTTTTTGTAAAATAAATTACTAATGCTCCCAAGAAGATTACATTTGGACATTAAATGACGCATAAGATGTTGATATGCTGCTAAACAAATAAATAAGAAAAACTAAAACAAATATCTGTGACGCAATGAGAAACGAACGAATTCATAATGAACTGTAAGAAGAGATTGTTAGCTTGATTTATTTAGGAAGGGTATCAGAATAATACAGAACTGGAGCAAGACACATGCGTACGGATAGATAATGAATTCATTAAATACATAAAAAATAGAAATGGGCTAAAAACGAGGAGATGTCATTTCACCAGATATGATTTCTGGAAGAATTGAAATTGCTACCAGGATCCATTATTGGCAGCCACAATCTTAACAGCAATAGATATACAAATGACACAATGTTGATAGCAAACATAGAAAGGAAAATACACCAACTCCCACAGAAGGTAGTAAAGGAAAGCAAGAAGAAAGGACTAAGCATCAACTGTAAGATGATAGAATTTATAGTTGTCAGTAAAATGAAAAGATCAACATGTAAATTACAAAATGGAAATACCAAATTCAAGCAAGTTTCATTGAATGTTGGACACTCTCCTCAGAGATGAAGAAAAGACCTGTGTCAACCAAAATAGAAGAATGCTAAGAATACCATAGACTGAAAATAAAATTGCTAATTATTCTTAATTGTAATTGATAATTATGCCTAATTATACCTAATTATAATTGCTGATTATAAGTAATTATAATTGCTAATTATACCTAATTATACCTAATTATCATTGCTAATTATACATTATTATACATAATTATAATTGCTAATTATACCTAAATATAATTGAAAATTATAATTGCTAATTATACCTAATTATAATTGCTAATTATACCTAATTATAATTGCTAATTATACCTAATTATACCTAATTAAAATTGCTAATTATATCTAATTATAATTGCTAATTATACCTTATTATACCTAATTTTATTTGCTAATTATACCTAATTATACCTAATTATAATTGACAATTATACTTTGTTATACCTTATTATAATTGCTAATTATACCTTATTATACCTAATTATAATTGTTAATTATACCATATTATACCTAATTATAATTGCTTATTATAACTAATTAAAATGCATGAAATAGTGACAAAGAAGCCTCCTCCAAATTCTTGGCATTATGGCGACTGGCATTATTATGTACGTTTTCGTTCGTTCCAAAAATAATAACTAATATTTGTTAGCGAACCGGACATGGCGAAGGATTTTACAGTTCAAATTCATACAAAAATTCAACCAATTATTAAACTCGGAAAATATTTAAAAAACGAAAGGGGAAAATGTCCAAAAGAGCCACTGTTTGCAACATTCAAAGTCTATTACGAATCCTGCAGAAAATATATTGTTCTTTCTGTAAACAAACAAATATCTGCTTCACAACCTCCTAGATCAGGGGTCACCAAACTATGGCCCATGGCTGGATCTGGCCACCGACGTCAGGTCATCCGGCTCGCCATTTCACTGTGCCACAAATGAGCTAAAATAGAATTATTCATATGGAATTATCAATTGATTGTAGTTATACTTACTATGTAGAAAAATTTAAAATAAATGTAAGAAAGAATGCTAAAATTTGGCCAATCTGATTTTTGCATCTGACATTAATACAAGCTTTAGGAAAATCAGTGAAATTTTTACATCTTTTGATATCCTTGCGTTTTTGTGTAAGTCCCTGCAATAATTAAAAAAAAAAAAGCGATAACGAGCCTGCTGCAGCAATTATTATGTTTTAACTTACATTGGCGTGTCTAAACCGGTTTGAAGAGTGGCGTATATAAAAAAGACTGACTTCAGCGAATTGTGTCATATTTTGCTTGAACTTATTATAAAATCTAAAGTATTGTAAAGTCAGCTTATGTAACGAGGTTGACTGAGGAACATTAGAAAGCATTTCTCTTGGTTGGATGCAGCAATACCAAAAACAAATATTAATTATATATTTAATGGTAAACACCAGTTTCACAAACCTCATTAACCTTTTTTGCTGCTTAGTTTGTGAGATTCGCATATGTGCCCACTTAATGTGATATAACTATTTTATTGCTAACGTCGTCTTCTTGGATAACATTTTTAGTAAATATGTTTGTTTTTATTTTTTGCTCATTCAGTGTATTGTATTGTATTGAACAAAATGGTCATCCGGCGCGCGCTGGACATTTTCTCAGTTACCTAGCCCTCTCTGAAAAAACTTTGCTTACCCCTGTTCTAGATGATGAGTGCATTCAGGTCGGAATACCTCCGGTCTTGGGCTCAAATTATGTGAGTTTCACAGATGCAGATGTGGGGTTTCCATTGAGTTTGGTTTGCATCCTCTCTCCTGTCGTCGTAGTGCCGGCCGCTTTCCAAGGCATGCAGCCCATAAACGACATCATCAAAAGAGGTCCGGATGCAGCTGGGTTCCCTTCCCAAATCGAACCCGTAGGCTTTGATCGTGATGATAGAAAGCGTCCGGGTGGGATTATCATTTTCCCTTTTAATGTGGGGAAGTCGTTGATTTGGGATGCGACCTGTGCGGATACTTTTTCGACAGTAATTTGATTAGGTCCGCAGTTGAGACGGGGGTCTGTCGCACAGGGCGCGGAGATAAAAAGTACTTATATGTTATTCTCTTGCAGACGGATTTATTTTTAGTCCTGTGGCAGTGGAGGCTTCTGGGGTTATTGACCCTCGTTCGATGGCGTTCCTTCGGAGGATTAGCGCGATTGCGTCTCGATTAAGGGACGAGCTTCGTGAAACGGAATATCTCTTGCAGCGTGTCTCACTGGCGATGTTGTGATGTTATGCTTTCTCCATCATCGAGGTTGGCTGAGAATAACAAAAAAAAATGTTTTGTTTACAGATACTTTGTTCAAATAAAAACCTTGTTTATATTTAAAAAAATACCCAGTTCGTTTCCAGTTTGATACAGCGACGGACATTTCATTAATATCGCATTCGACTTGGGAAAGTTTTGAAAAACCACGTGTGTCTGAAATAGCAGTGAGCGTGTCTGTAAGTATAATCCGTTTAACTGGGGAGATAACGTGCAATGTTTCCTTTCGAAATAGAACATTTTCTCGTCGCATATATTTCGGAATGAGATTTAATTGGTCTTGACTGGATAAAATAATTTAACCTTTTTGAAATTACTCTCAAATCTTTGCTCAATGCATTTAAACCTCGGATTCACATATTAAAAACCATTTCACTCATGAAACTTAAAAATAAGTTTACTGACGTTTTTAAATATGCACTTTGGTGCTGTACAAAAATTAAAGTTACTCTGAAATTAAAACCACATTCTAACCCAGCTTTTAGATAAAAATGGCCAGTACCTTATGCTCTTAATATGGTAGTAAAAGAACTGAAAGGTTTTCAGCAAGAAGGTGTAATAGAACCTGTAAATTATTCCTCGTGGGCAGCTCCTGTTGTAGTTGTTAAAAAGGCAAATGTAAAAGTTCTGACCTGTGTTCCCCATCCTGTCTTTTGAACATTGGTTGTCATATAGAAAGA